TATGTTTAAAGTGCACTTCACCAACGTTTATACATTATCGTCAGCGGTAATATGCAATGTCTCTGTGAGTACGCTATTTTCGTTAACACTTGGCTTTTTTCTATTTCTCAGAGTATTTTTTCAACTTTACCCATTTTAATGCTTTTGTGTTGTATACCCGATTTGATAAAGTTAGAAACTTGTTAATGTTTTGTTACGCGTTGTTGGAACGTCAGTGTCATGCATGACAACTGTCAACACTACTATGACAGCTGCACGTCAAACTAATAACACTGGCTGCGTTCCGAACCTCCGCTCCGGTGTGGCTGTATGGTGGTATAAATGTCAAACTTGACATTTATATGTGTATCAAAAATAGAAATTACAGCGTAATAAGTTGCTCTCGGGGTGTGGTTTTGGAGCGCATCCCTGTATTAATGTATTTTTGCTGTTTTCGTTTTACTACTTTACTTTCTGGATGTCTTGTGTTTGTTGGCCTACGTTTCTCTACACCTTGTATTCATATCAATGTATAAGTTATCGCATTCGTGTTGTTCTTCGGTTTACATTTAACGCTTGGTTATTTTTTCATTTATTTTGATTAATGTGCAATTTGTATTTGTTTCTTTTATTTTTATTTTGTTAAGTATGTGTTTTGTGCAATATGTTTCTTATTATTATTTTTTGCTTTCTTGCTGGTGGATTGTGATGGTAACAAGTGCAGAGGTATTTTAGTAAGTTTATATTTATATTATTGATTTGACTATAGGTATATATTTGCTTCATATTTTTACAGTCGTATGCCTGCTACTGGCAGTGATAATAGCAATGATTTTCTGTCTCTCTCTTTCTCCTCTGATGGGTTGAGCAGTAATGATAGTTTCTGCAGTTTACCTTCCTTAAAAGATAATCTCCAGTCTGCTATGTCAGACGTCTCCAAAAATTTCAATGTTGTACATATCAACGCTCAGAGTATTGCAGCTCACTATCCTGACTTCCTTGCTACCTTTTCTGACAAGAACATCCATGCTATACTTGTTTCAGAATCTTTTCTTCATCCTTGTCTTCCATCTACTTCTTACTCTCTCCCTGGATTTCAGCTTATTCGCAATGATCGTACTAATACATCTCATGGCGGAGTGGCTATTTATCTGCGAAATCATATTTCATTTTCTGTGATAAGTCGATCAATGCAGCCCCCCCCAGCCGATACTGCAGAACACCTTTTCCTTGAAGTTACTCTATCTCACTCTAGAATTCTACTGGGAGTTTACTACAGCCCTTCTCTTAGAGTCAATTTCTTTTCTTCTTTCGAGAAACTACTAGAAGATTTGACCCCGTCCTACAGCCATTCTATTATAATGGGTGACTTTAATACATGTCTTTTAAAAGGTGATCTACGATCCAATACCTTAAAGTCACTCGTTAATGCTTGTAACATGAATATTCTCCCCCTTAATGCCACTCATTATTTTCCTAATTGTTCTCCTTCTCTTCTTGACCTAATTATTGTTTCTTCTACCGAGCACGTTGCCAAACATGGTCAATTTACGGCCGATGCATTCTCTTACCACGACCTCATATATCTTTCCTATAAAATACGTCCCCCTAAGGCTAAGCCCAAAATTCTTCTGCAGCGTAATTTTGGTGGTATGGATCTGGACAAGCTGCGTGATGATGCTGGAGCGGTTGATTGGTCAGCGGTAAACAATGGTGCTACTGTTGATGAACAAATAAATTTATTTAACAACCTTTTGATCAAACTCTACGATGTTCATGCACCTATTAGGCCTATTAAGATCAAACATTTGCCCGCACCCTGGCTGACTGATGACATTAAATCTTTAATGGCGAAAAAAAATAATGCTAAGGCTAAGTACAAGTGCAACCCCACAGATAGTAACCGTGACAAGTATCATCGAATCAGAAATCGCTGCAATACAGTGTGCAGAGACGCACAACGCCGCCACATCCATAAATCCGTGGAAAGCGGTGATCCCGCTAAAGTCTGGAAATTCTTAAGGTCTCTGGGAGTTGGCAAACCCCGTAATCAAAATTTAGCTCAAAATTTAGACATCAACCGCTTAAATAGTCATTTCTCTGTATCGTCTGCTCTTGACGCTCATGTCAAAGAGAAAACTATAAGGTATCTTTCTTCTCTGCCAACACCAGATTTTGCTCCGTTTACTTTTAGTCAATTTTCCGATAGTGATGTTGAGAAGAACATCCGTGCCATTGATTCTAAAGCGGTGGGTAATGACAATATTGGCCGTAACATGATTATCCCCTTACTCGACATCCTAACTCCAGTTATTACCAATATCTGCAACAAATCCATTTCCTCTGGAAGTTTTCCAGGAATTTGGAAAGATGCTCAAGTTATTCCACTTCCCAAAAAATCAAATCCTGATACTATGTCCGATTTCCGTCCTATTTCCATCCTTCCTTTCCTTTCCAAAGTTCTTGAGCGTCTAATACACAATCAACTGAATGAATTCCTTCGAATGAATAACTTGCTAAATCCATTACAATCTGGTTTTCGTCCTGGCCATAGCACAGCTAGTGCACTTGTCAAAATTACCGATGACATTCGCTTTGGCATGGAGAGTCAGAAACTCACAACTTTAACTTTATTGGATTTTAGTAACGCCTTTAACAATGTTGACTTTGAAATCCTGTTGAGTTTACTGCGTTCTCTTAACATATCTCCTACGGTCATTGACTGGTTTCGTAGTTATCTACATGGACGCCGGCAGCGTGTAATTGTGGGTGAATCCTTCTCTCAATGGTGTACTCTAACGGCCGGTGTTCCTCAAGGTGGCGTGCTATCTCCTTTGCTTTTCGCTATTTTTATTAACTCAATTACCCTCAAGTTAACTTCTACCTGCCATCTGTATGCAGACGATCTTCAGATTTACACACAGGATCGACTGGAAAACTTAAATAATGCAATTAATAACCTAAATGCAGACTTAGCACTTATAACGGAATGGAGCAATGCATTTGGGCTCAAAATCAATCCAACAAAAACGCAGTGCATAACTATTGGTAGCCCTTACTTTATATCTCGGATTGACTTTAAGCAGCTCCCATCAGTTACTTTAAATGGAACTGTTATCCCATTTTCTGAAACAGTTCGGAATTTGGGGGTCATATTTGATAACACTCTATCTTGGTGTCCTCAGGTTGCTGAGGTCAGTAGGCGAACTTTTGCTGCGGCTGGATCTTTACGACGTTTACGCAATTTCTTGCCCACTGCCACCAAAATTTCTCTTGCAACTTCTCTTCTTCTACCTATTCTCGATTATGCAGATGTTTGTTATCCCTATCTTACCTATGATCTTCTAAGTAAACTTGAACGTCTGCAAAATTTTTCCATCAGATTCATTTACGGTCTACGTAAGTACGACCATGTTTCTTATTACAGGCAGAAATTGAAATGGCTTCCCATTCGTCGTCGCCGTGATCTGCATATATTATCCCTACTCTTCTCAATACTGTTCAATCCAAAAGCTCCTGTCTATCTCAAAGAACGTTTTCAGTTTCTTTCTTCTTCTCATAATCTTCCGCTTCGCTCATCTGACAATCTCCTGCTTTTCACACCTCCTAACTTTTCCAAGGCGTATAGCCACTCCTTTACCATACGTGCTATCCAACTATGGAATTCTCTGCCGGAAAAGATTAGGCGTGCCCAAACTCTATCCTGCTTCAAATCCCTAGTTAAGGAGCATTTCTTGTCAGATGAGCATAATTTTCATTAAAATATTGCTACGGTAGTAGTGCTGTTGCATTATATTGCGATATGTGTGAATGTCTGTGTATGCCTATATGTTTAGTTTGCGTTTATTTTGATTATTTTCAATTGACTACTTACAAAACTTTTGTCTTGTTTTCCGCACAACCTCCCTCATTATTATTATCGTGCTTTCTACTTTTTCCAGCTCATTGAGTTGTCTGGAAGAAATCGCTGATTAGCGATAAGACCGCCCTTTGTGCAACTGTAATTGTTTTGCCTTGTATTTGTATTTTTCATGTTATTTATGTTACTGTTGTGCAATAAAGTATTATTATCTTATCTTATCTTATAGCGTGCTTTTTCTTATTAGTTTAAACGTAAAGATGGTGACACAAATCGCCGTCAGGATGAGAGATTGTGTGAGAAGAGCGGAGTCCTTTTCTGGAATAGGCGACGGGGTGCAACATCGTATTTTGAGCTCGCTTGAAAAGAATTAAAGAAAAGAACAGGAGATGAAAGGTGGCTAAGCGAACACCAAAGGAAGACGATGTTGTAGTAGTTTAAGGATAATTTAATAGAAAATCCCATAACTGGATTCGTAGGCGTAGTGGTTAATTGTTAGTCTTCGTACTTAAATGTGAAGAATCATTCTACATGAATTAAGCAAGAATTAGTTGGCTTCATTTCTTACAACAAAATGGCGACGTCATGAGACCACGCTGTGGTGATGAAATTTAACAAGGCTTGATGAACAGTGTAGATCTTCAAATAACAAGATAATAAGAGGCTGCCACATTCTAATGTAAAAAGGATTAGGCTTTATGGGTCTTGTTCCTTTTGCCTTCCCTAAAACGGGAGAATCTTAATAAAAAAAAACACTATTTGACAGATCCGGACAGAGTTGCCAAGTCTTCCGATTTTACAGATCTTCTGGTTTTTCTCAAATGTCTCCTGTTATTATGTTTGTCTACATGAATCTACTGTTTTTCTTAAAATACGATTTACTTTTTTTAAATTGCATGAAAGGTAACGTAAAATGCATCACTCGAGTCGATAATACAATATGTTTAAACTTTGAGGGGCCGAACGCAAGTGTTGCTGGAGCTGGACGATATTTAATTTAATAAATACAACCCAATATTAATTAAAAAAATACAACCCTGCTTCTACTGTTTTTTCTTGCAGCTCTTTCCATACAACTACTGTTTTTGTCCTATAACCTCTCGATTTTTTAAAATCGGACCTGGCAACACGGAATACTAATCTGTGATACAGTTCATCAATAACAATTTTTCTTGTAGTTCACGATTAGGTTTTTTAATTTAACCATTACTAATAATATCTACATTACCTTACCTAACAATAGCTCTACTCTTAGTGTCATAAGTTAGCCTAAACATACACAGTTCAACTGTACAAGTTGTCGAAATGGCGAACGACACGCCTGAAAGTGATTTCTCCATAGAATGTTTTCAAAATTATTCTGCTCCGGAGGTGTTCGTGCAAGGCCTAGCAGGGATGGTCGATCAGACAGACGTAGAAACTATTATAAGGGCACAGAAAAACATGTAAGTAAACACGGCGTTTTGATAACTTGTCAGATCAGTCCCTGCAGCATGAGCACCACAATTTACATTAAAACGCGTTTATAACGAGTCTAACTGTCAAACTCTATAGTAATTTGACAATTGAACGTGATAAAAACGAGTTATATATCATATCGCGCTGGTCAAGCTAGGGGGGCAGACCTCACTATGTAGATACAATTTTTTGTATGTAATAAATATCAGTCTGTGTGATGTATACTAATTGAAACTATCTAAATCTACTCTTATTATGTTATAAAGAGCATGTATTCTAATATTGATGAAGGAACTATTTTATCATTAATAGATATGCCTTAACTCCAGTAAAGTAGGTCTATTGTCTATTATTAATTATACATTGAACGCATGTTCAAAGTGGCAGATAAGTATCAACCATAGCTTCCTTCTGTCTAGCAAAAAAGAAAATCTCAATAACGAAATATTTTGGTGACCATTTTTTAAATTTGTTTTCATACAAGTGTAATGAAACAAATAATAATATAAGTATATTTTGGCCTCTCTTAATAGAAACTTAAACATTCCAGGTTGCAACGCTTCGAGAAAACTACTGAAATGTTAACGAACTGCAACCAGCTTTCAGCCAGTCGACTTCGAGCTGCTTCTGTGGAATTCAAGAAGCATACCCAACTATTGATGGACATGAGAAAAGACCTCGAGTTCATATTCAAGAAAATTAGAGCAATAAAAACTAAGCTTAGGTAGGATTACTCTAAAATTTAGTTTACTCAAGTTTTATAAAGTATAATATAATAATAAAAAAAATATTCAATTTCTAAGCAAATGACAACATTGCATCAAATGATAAGTGAGTATTGTTAAGCAGAAAGTGACCAGAGTGCATTTTAAAGTTTGATTCTATTTGATCCCAAAAATTACCATTGGTTGCTTTCTGCTTTTACAATCATCCTGTAACGTTAGTCCACAGAACTAACTTTTTCTAGCATCAAAAATTCCCACTGGTTCGCTTTCTACCTAACACCACTAAGTCTACATTAATACTAGAATATTTCTAATTATTGTCATTAATTCTTGCATTTTATGTTTTCAGTACTCAATACCCTGAAGCTTACAAAGCAGCAGTGGCAGCATCAATAGCAAACAGAAAACCAGTTGATGAAGAGGAAGAAGACGAAGCTTTCAAACCTGCAGAAACAACAATAGAGTCTAAAATGGTAACAACTGTCTCTACGGAAACCCTAAAACCAACAACAAGCGAAGAGAAACCACTCAACAATAAAAGTATACTGAAGAGCGATCATAGCAACAATAACTCTGAAGAAGGCACAAGTGTTACCAATACTGAAAATAAAAAAGGCAATGGTAAAAAAACCAAAAGAAATAGCAGTTCTTCTGAAACAGAAAGTGCAAGTTCTGGTGATGATAGCAGCACAGACACGGGATGAAACTGGCTTTTATAGATGTTTTATTTGGATATCAGTATTCCCCAGTGTCTACACTGCTATAGGTTTTATGCTTTAATAACTATTATGTATTAGGACCTACATATGTGATTTCACAGCAGTTTTAGGAATTTGTCTTTCATTAAAACTTTCATAGGTCAAAGAAGCAAGCCTCTGATTTTCTCTGAACCAAAAATCTATTTCTATTACCTATTGTGAACTTTAGAACAAAAATCATGACTATAAATGTTATGTATCATTTAAATGTGTAAACATACATTGTAATTTATAGTATTCATTATTAAAGCATTTTATAATTTTAACATCATCAAACATACCTACCACAGTATTTATACTATTTATAAGCATAAAAACTAAATTATAACCAATGAACTACAGTTGAAAGTTTATATTGAAAATAAAATAGATTATTTATTTATAGCTTATTTTATTACTAACATTTCACTTATAAAAATGTGAATATACCATGTTTTTATCTAATAATATTTAGTATCAAATATAACACCTCTCTAGACTTAATATTAAATGAAAAAACATATTGACAAGACAAGAGCTTGTTCAGCAGCTTACAATCTAGATTATCAGAAAAAAAAACTTTATTATAAGGATCAGAATCATTTTTTTTTTAATGTCTCTAAAATCTATACTTTAACATATATTTAGCACTAGGCTATAATGTTTAGAATTTAAACAGTATGGCATACATAAATAAATGGTAGACAATTATTATTGTTCCTTTAATAAATTAGATATTGAGTTCCCAAATCCAAAACAGCGTGTTCAAAAATTTTCAAACATAGCCCTTCATACTTTATGAAAAACAGCAGATAGAGAACATAATTCAAAGTTTACGAGACCAGTTCACAAATCCTTACCTAGCATAATCTTGAACAAATAATGCAAGTAAATATATATCAAAAACCTTGAACTTTTCGAAATTTATTTTCTTCAACAGGAATTTTCAATTTGAATTCAGACTTATTTTTTAAAGCTGTTACTCCTCCATATTCATCAGATAAAAAATCATACATTATGCTGTATCACATGAAGATAACATAAATGCAAATTTTCGATTGATATTAGAAACCATAATCTATTCTACTTTTAAATTAAAATACTTTTTATTGACAAACTAATATTTAGTAATAAACTAAAAGTAAATGTCTAAAATACAAAATGTATTTGCCCAAATACAATAAAATCTCCATCATTAACTCTAAAGAAATTAATTCCTTACTTAATTATCACCATTTTAATTGATACCATCCTATCCTGTATTGATTGCATGTTTTTCAGTGTGTCTTCGTGCATTTTCTTTGAATGTTTCAATCTCATATTTGTATTCATTTGCAACATCCATCATGAGTGGATCATCAGGATTGGGGTTGGCAAGGAGAGTTTGAAGAGACACCAGAAGAGTCTCCAAAGTAATAGTTGGGAGCCAACCTCCCTTTGGAGGCATTTTCAGCATATCCATACATATACGTCCACCTGTGAAATACACAATGTTGTATGAAAATTTGGATTATATTTAATGCTGATAATACCTGATCTATTCAGTTTTAATTTCTACTGAACATTTTATTACAGCTTAAAATAATCCAATTTTTTGAACATATTTTATTATACAACATTACATGAAAGATCAAAAGCCAAAGTACTTTGGTGAAGTCAACTCAAAATTATAACAGCTTTACATCCAGTCTGGTACTAAATTCCATTAATTAAACAAGTCGTCACTTCCATAAAGTAAATTTATGAATATCAATTTCATAAAACCTACTATGCCAAAATATTGTATATTAATTTGGCAAGTTTATTTTGGGTGTATATACATAAAATGGAGATTCAAACAATCGGACTTTTGGAACAGTCATTGATAAAATTGTGTGACTTCCCTGGTGTTAAGTACCCCGTTATGTGCAGTTTTTTATTATAGATTTTTACTAAAAAAGCAGATTCGTTAGTTTGCCGTAGATGTGACGAAGTTTGCTTCCGACGTTGGGCAGGCCTGGTATCCAACCCCAGGTTTCAGAGCTGGTTATGAAATGGAATCTTAACCAATAATAATCATGCATGGTACTTTTAAAAAATACTTTGAAGTACTATCAAAATTAATCATACCTTTGTCAATATTAGGATGATATACGGGAGTGACGAACTTCACAAGCGGTGGTTCAAAAGGGTACTTCTCTGGAATGTTGACAGTTAATTTAAAGGATCCCTTCTCGTAAGGAGAGCCCTTAGGACCCAGTAAATTCACTATGAGAACATCAAAACAATCTTCTTTTTCCGGCTGACATGTTATACCCCATGGTGGTTTCGTTTCAAAATTTTTCACCTCGCGCGCGAGTCGCGCCATACGTGCACTGGCAATCATTATTGTACTTGCAGTAGATGATAATTCTTATAAAAGAAAATAAACAATAATTTAATTTATTGTTTAAAAGAATTAAAATTATAATAAGGCGCCAACCGTACTCAATGAAATCCCGCCAAAAACTAGGCATGCGTCTGATATATCAAAACGAATCCAAAATCCGATTTCAAACACAAATCGATACCGAACGATTTCTCAACAAGAAAATCCGATTTCGGAAATCTAACCGAACCAAAACGCTAGCGATCTAATACCACCACAAGTATCCATATGTAAATCGGATTCGAAATTCGTGCTTTCGTTTTCGGAAGTCCGATTTCGGTTTGCTGTTTACGGAAATCTATTGCTGTTCTCTAAGGCGGGATTATTTATCACTGAAAAGAGATGTCGTCTAAAAACATCAAAAGTCGATTAACTTACATTTTTGAACGCTAACCTGAAGTAATTAGGTTTGATTTTGTAAATGGTTTGAAAAATAATAAATACAAACAGAAAAATAAAAAAAAAAACTAAAAAAATATGTATAAAGAAATCATTGTATATAAGCCGATTTTTAACCGTAAACATAACTTTTCTGCTACTCCTAAGCCTAGATTTAAAGCATGAAGGAAAATCGCGCAAATCTACGAGTATCCTTGTTTCCTACAATTAATTGTTTGTGATTGTCGTTAGCTAATAAAACCAAATCATAACACTAACTAGTGAATTGGCTAAGTTCGGCACATCTGAAATCGGATATCTAAAAACGGATTTTAAAATCGATTTTGAAATCTAAAATCCGATAAATATCCGTTTGCGTGCAAAACCAAAAACGCCCATGTCTACCAAAAACTCTTTCTGTTATTTTGTTCATCGCCGTGTCGTGTGGTGATTTTACGAATGAAGCGTAGGGATGTGAAAGCGTACTAACCGATTCTCATCAATATCGATTACTCTTATTTAAAAAAAATGGATGCGTGTAACTTATGTACGCGCGTGAGAAGTTATACTTCTTTAGCATCATTAAAAATATTTTTCAATTGCATGCAAATAATTAATAATTACAATAAAATAATAAAAGGACTGGAAAAGGATAGTTAACACAGTCAATTAAGTTCAGTTTTAATTTGAAAAATTAAATAAATATTCGAAATATTCAATTAAAATCACTACTGAATTTAAGTTATTAGTCCATATGTAATTATCACTTGTAAGTAACTAAAACACGTTGTGTCTATATAGAAACTAGAAACATGTGGATAAATATTATAAATATGAAAACAGTAATCAGAGGCGACGAGCGTGCCAACATTGTTTTTGACAACGCGATCATCTTATGGAGCTCCGTGGATCGTTCAAAGTACCTTTCGAACAGATGTCTAATAATGGTGGATTATTAACCACTAAGTGGTTAATAATCCACCATTATTAGACACTAACTTTCATAACGCGCCCGCTGCCAACTTCATTATGTTACTTTTGTGTTACAGTGATGCACGCGCATCTTAAAATTTCACTCTCATAATTTTTTCATAACGCGGCTAAAGAAGTATAACTTCAAAAATTTAAAAATATTTTTTCATTTATTTATTCACTTCACTGAAATAAAGTAAATGATGAGTTATAATATCCTTTAATTGACTTTGTTAACAACAGCATCTGCACGCCGGATGAAGAAAGACAAAAATATTCAATTAAAAGTTAAGTGTAAAAAGTGGATCTGAAAAACACAAATTAGAACAGATGCACTCACTCCTGTACAAAAGTTAAAATGCCTACATAGTATTAGCCTTAGTTCTTTTCTTTCTTAAAAACGCAATACTAGACTTCTATGCACTATACAAGTCTTTAAACAATAGCACTTGAAAACTTTACTTGCACTTTCATCGCCTTAGTATTCGTCCTGAAATCGCTGTTGAAACTCAACTGTCCACTGCGCGTTTTTTTTTTTTTTTTTTTGTTTCCTCCCAGGCGGGGGAGAGGGTGAGAAATCCTCATGGATACCCTACAGCCGGCTGTAAGGTTATGTCAGACTCTTACTGACTAAAAAACACCCTTTATTCATGCTTATGGCCAGAAGGGCCTTACAAGCTTCATCTGAAGCGATCACCCCCCGTGAGGGGAGGCGCTTATATACGCCAATCGAAGCATTCCAGAGAGTTCATTGCAGTTGAGAGTTAACCGGCAAGCTTATAACTAGCTTGCCAGTGAACTCTCAATTGCAATGAACTGGCAAGCTAGTTATAAGCTTGCCGGTTAACTCTCAATTCCAATGAACTTCTCTGGAATCTGGACAGTGGACAGTTGAGTACATACATAGTTACAAATGCAGATGTCGTTGCACTTTGACCCTTACGCTAAACTGCATAACGCTAATATGAATTAGGATGAACCGCACCACTCAACCCTTATTGCGATCATTCACGTCGTGACCCGCGGCATCGACGCCCCGGTCAAGTTTCGTGTTTGGTTCGTGAGAGTTTGTGACCGTATACTACAAAAGGCGCGCCGAGACTCGGGATTCTCGCATACACCGCGCGATTGGCTCATCACGCAAAGATGTTAGACTTGACTAAATAAAACTAAGACTGAAGTCAAAGTTAATTTGTATTTCTTTTATGTGTATATATAATGCAATGAGGAGCTCGATGGCGCAAGTGGTTAGCGCGTTCGGCTGCGATCGTTGAACTTAAGCAACTTTCGCAGTGGTCGGTCATTGGATGGGTGAGAAAAAATTTACTATCTCGAGTTCCTCCGTGCTTCGGAAGGCACGTTAAGCCGTTGGTCCTGGCTGCATCTGCAGTCGTTAGCACCCACCAACCCGCACTGGGCCCGCGTGGTGGGTCATGGCCCAATCTCCCTATTCCATCCATAGGGAAGGCCTGTGCCCCAGCAGTGGGGACATTAATAGGCTGATGATGAACTTAAGCAGGACTATTAGGTTGAAGGAAAGCAGCTGTCTTAAACGTGATTTCATTTTTATGATTGCAGATTTTTCTTATCTTTGAATAATGTTTATTTAATTTTACTTGTTCGGTTCCCTTTTAATATTTAAAGTTATAGGAATCAATTCACTTGGAATAAACTTATTATGTTAATTAAAACAACAACAAAAAACCATTAGTTCAACAGCCTACACCGGTATTACTTCAAAGCAGTTGGCATTTTTTAATACTACAAAAACTTTATGCATTAACAAGTTTTGCCCATTCTAAAGTAATAATTAACAAATACAACGTAAGTTTCACTGCGTTAACGTGGGAAATGTAACATACGCACTCTGTCTCGCGTATGGCGACCCGCTGACGTTCGGACTTACGACCATAGGTCGGACTGCTTAACGGTAGGCATTTATAACGCTGCGTCGTGCGAGGAACTGGGGCCTTAAGAAAAAAATCTCAAAAATAGTGGCTCTTAAAAAATATTGATACTTTTTTTAAAGATAATTGTTTTGCAATTTTTGTCTGAGGTAATTTTACGATAAAACACAGTTTTGATTAAAATCACGAAAACCCAATTTTTGACCTTGAACCTCGAGTTAAAGTTTTACTAAGTACTTACGGTACTTAATAAAAATTTGACTCGATGGGGAGATTTGAAGTGTTAGTTTTAATTATGTTTTAATCAATTTCGCTCATTTCCAGCTTGATGCTAATTTATGTAGCTTCACTCTTATTTTTCTGTCTAAGTTGGCCAGATAACAAGCTATTATTATCTTTTATTGTTTTTCTTTCTTTCTTTATTGTTTAAGAAAAACTGAGCAATAATTATAGTAATATAAGTTATTTACGGGATTGTTACCATGTACTTTGTTTTTAGTGAGTTTCCGATAACTTGCTACAAACAAAGGACGTGGTAACAATCCCGTAAATAACTTATATTACTATAATATTAGTGACCATGAAAGTTTAAAACAATATAAGGTATGTACATATCGTTTCATTTTACTTTAATTCTAATAATTGCCAAACTTACTTTATTAATAATTTTTATACCAGACTGGTAGTCAATCAGGATATGGCCCTGATGGTAAGCGCCCGCCATGACATATAGACACTTCTTTCTTTCTATATGCCATGCATGCACTGTTGATAAAACATAAATAAACATAATTACTTATTTTAAATTGTATTATCTAAAAAAATCAGAGGCGATTAATTAATAATCGGTACTTCTCACTCAGCTAGGGTGTGACACCCCTATTAAAGCGGAATCTTGACACTGACAGTTTTTTTTTATAGTTCTAATCTTCTCTATTGATAAAGGCAAAGGCATAGCCATGCAGCCATCGTGTTATTTTTGTATTAATCTTCATTTTTTTTTACATTAGAATGTGGGTGACGCATTTTAATGCTTCTTGGAGTGTTTGGCACGAAATATATCGAGTTGGCTTTTTCGATAAGCTTCTATTATTCTTCTATAATATTACAATAAAATTCTCACGTCCACTTGACCGGAATAGCGTATATTTTAAAGATTCCACTAATTCTTCACTTGCGCAGACGGTTGTAACACAAAATTACACCAATTTTATTTCACAATATCCACTGTGAACAAATTTAAGAAAAATTAAAATAAGACGCCAACCGCACTCGATGACAGTTTAGTTCCATTTTATTAAAATCTACATGCAAGACAAGTGACACCAACTCTATACATCATCTTGCACTCAGTTGACCAATTTCACATTTAATATCGAAATAAATAGATTCTAATAGTTTTACTTTCAGCGATTAACAGCAGTCTTTCATTACAAAGATATTACCTAGCATACTACAAAATTATTTATTAACGTATATATTATATTTTATTATCCAGATGGAGTCAAGACCATGGTTTTAAACTTTTATCTTTGACTTACCATGTGAAGCGTGAGGGGCCCAAGCAAGGTAAGATTTCACCACCCATCCTATGACTGTCCATTGCGAAAGCTGCTTATATTACACAAAATGAAACAGTCTTGTTTATTTTGTTAGTGTCTACTAACCACTGCGCGATTGAGCTCTTTGATGGAGATGTGCAAGATAACCATGAAACCACTATGATGAAGAAGGTGCTAGGTATTTAAGAAAAAAATATGTTTAATGCTATAACATTTAATTATAAAAAGGCTAGTAATAATAATTAATACTTATAGCACCTATTAAATTTCATATCAAATATACAAATTACATGTAACACTAAATATAAATGAATAAAAACTATAAAAATATTTGTTTTATTATTTCAATAACATTTATATAAATATAATTTGTTGATTTTATCAATATCACAATTTTTTTTTGTCCTTATCTATATCTTATTATTGTGAAGTCAAAGAATCATGCTGGTACTTCACTTGGCTATTCGTGTTTGCTATTTCCAAATTTGACATCAGTCTGTCCTTTTCATTCCTTATCAAGCAGGGTAAGGACAGACTGTTGCGAAGTTCACGAACAGCCGAGTGAAGTGCGAGCATCAGTCTGAAGATGTGAATGTGGCATAGGAATGCACTAAATGTTGCTTAATTTAAACATACACATTTTACATATTCATTTCAAAGGTATTTTTTTTTAATTTAAAATAAAAGAGTTCAAGTATAACCTTTAAAAACTTTACAAATCACCATTCATTCTTTAATGTTGGACTCGGATTAAAAGAAAAACTTTTAAAACACTAGTTGCTGTTTCGATGACCTACCAACCTAAAATGGAATGGCCTTGAAAGTATGTGTTTGACACAACACAATATTATTTCCTGTCTTAACTTACAATATTTATTAATAACTGTTAAGTTACTCTTACATAAATGCATAGAAAAGGAATGTACATTCTTACAATAATAAGGAATCCTTTGATGTTTAAATTAGTACAAAAAAAATAACTAAATATTTAAACTATTAAAATAAGCTGAGAATAATAATAATGTTTGAACTTTTTGGCGGGATCGGAAAGCGTCACTTTAGCAGTTTTGTTTTTCTTGTTAAAAATTGTTTTGTGGCGGATGTTAGTGTCTAATAAAGGTGGATTATTAACCACAAGTGTTCGGGAACATGCACAAGTGTTGGCAAGTGAAACAAAATAGCGGAAAGTGTCTTTCGACGTTCCCTCAAGAAGTCCACGGGGAGGTTCCAGTAAATCCCCACACATTTACTGAAACACAGGGAAAGGGGGATTGACTTGACTGCCACTTACTTTGACTTGATATAATACTTTGAACACGAGTGCTATAGAATTTGTAAACATTTTTAACACTTGACATTGGCTAAATGCACAAGCCGCGCAAAGCCATTGAAAAAAAAAGCAACTTGTTTTTTTTTATTTTTCTTGTAGATTAAACCCTGAAAAGAGTAAAAAATACTTTGTTCCATAAAAAAATATTGCTTCTCTTTTGTTAATGAATTAATTATATTAATTTATATAGCTTTCTCGTCATGACTCCATCTCTCGGATCTATTTATATTGACACAAACGCTCTCGAAACAAAACCGCGAAAATACTAGGGACCGAATTTACCAGAACACCGCGGATCGCGATAAAGGTCAAGGGTGCGACTCATTCTAATATGAGCCTTATGCAGTGTGTCGTAAGGGAATAAGTGCAACGATATCTGCACTGGTTTACAATTTATGCGCGTTACTTAGTAGGTCTAAGTAGGTACTACGCACTCGCGGATGCTAGTTAACTCTCAATTTAACGGGTATCTTCTAGAATGCATCGATTGGCGTATATAAGCGCGATCGGCGCCGCGCAGGGACAGTTGATGTTCAACAGCGATTTCGGAACGAATACAACGGCGATCAAAGTGCAAGAAAAGTGTTCAAGTGCGATTGTTTAAAGACTTGTGTAGTGAAGAACAGTGTTTAGTGAGTGTATTGGGATTAACATTGTGTGTTAACTGTGTGGTGAATAAAGTACTATGAAGCATGAACTGGCATATAATTTGAACCCCATCCCGACACGTAACAATATAGAAAAATATTATAATAATAATGGTTTGTTTCTTCTCCTCCCAATCCCATGCACAAAAATTCCAAACTTAATGAATTAATTAATGTCTTAATGACAAGATTGTGGAGAGACTGGTATCTGAACTAGGCCGCAGCCTGTATCTCAGAAGACCGGTACTCTCCCCTCTTTACAGTGGTACATAATAACAAAATTACATGTTCTGAAAAAATAAAATAACTGTATCTTAACAATGTTGAAGAGAACTATAACATCAGAATGTAATCATTTAATGTAATAGGTAGGTTAAAATATAATGATTAGGTAATTGAAATAATGAGTAGTTTCTGGAGTCGCGTTGCTGAGAGAGTGTGTGTGTGTGTGTGTGTGTGGTATTATGTAGTTTACAGAATGCTACTATTTACTAATCTTCAGTAAAATTTGCAACTTCTTCGCACACTTCATTTATATCAGGCCTACTAGTATAATCATAAGTGAGGCATTTCTTAGCTAACTCGTAGATTTCATCGGCTCTGGACCACGGACTGGCCACTGGGTCCAACACTTGTTTATAATCAACCCGGGCTTTCTCAGCAATATAATCTTGTATGTTCATTGTTTCTTTATTTCTGTTAACGAGACATTGCAATCCAGTCAGCAATTCTAAGAGTACAATGCCAAAGCTGTAAATGTCTGCCTTTTGGGTGACAGTGCCTCTTAAGCGTTCCGGAGACATGTATGGAGTAGTGCCCATTATAGATGGCGACACTAGAGTGGTCTTAAACTGCTTTGCTAGACCGAAATCGCAGAGCTGGAAAATGACAAAGAATCAGTATATGTGTGTTAGTCTATGGTATTGTTATTATAAAATAAATACTTCCAACACTCACACCAATTAGCCTAGCCCCAAAGCACTGTAAGGCTTGTGTTATGGGATGTTAGGGTAGCAGATAGAATACTTAAACTGATCATGTATAAGTATATTTATATAGAAATACATATTAAACATCCATGACTGGAGTAAAAATGCTCGTATTCATCACACAAACATCTAAGGGGGTGTCCATAAATTACGTGAGGTGTTTTTTTGGATTTTCTGTCCCGCCCTCCCCCCCTGGTGAGATGTCGTGAGATTTTATTCAACCCCCTCCCCCATCCCCCAATCTCACGTGAGATTTTTCAAAATGTGGGTTTCTTTCGTAAACGCGTTGGATTGTTATTGTAAAAAGAAAAAAAAATGCTTCGTGCTATTTACGACTAGTTAAGACTAGTAAGCAATATTGCTGAGAGTTATAAGTGTAATAAAAATTTAACAATAGATACTACTGTGAAAAAAAATTGCGTGATATTTGCCGAGACCCCCCCTCTCTCCAACGTAAGATTAGATGAGATTTGACTCGACCCCCTCCTCCCCTTAAACATCTCACGTAATTTATGGACACCCCCTAAGTAACTATTTTCTCTATAAGGAAGGCCTGTGCCCCAGCAGTGGGGACATTAATAGGCTGATAATAAAGCATTAAACCAACGATATTAAATACCCTAGATACACCACCGGGGCTCAAAATATGTCCCAAGCAAGAAGTGCTTGGACGACGCCCAAGCACTTCTTCGTTCACAGTGTCGCGCGGACCGTTGTAAACAGAACATGCCAAAGTGCTCCGTGAAAAAATGCAAAAACAACACATTATTGAGACTAAAAAAGGATGGAGTGTCTTATTTTCGGTTAGTACCGAACATATGTTTGCTAATTCAACGCATTTGTCCTAAATCATACTATAATTGCTAGATGTTGACATCCAGATTTTTTATACTAGAAAAAGTTATCTGGGCGGATGCACTAACCAAATTTTGCTACCGCGACCTTAATGGCCGTTTCGAATTTCTTCTAGTATTTCTTAGGCTGCAAGGCAGCGCCATCTCTTCGCATTGTACAATGTCAAACGAAATACTTGTCATAGCAATTGCAGTTCATTATATTTTTTAAGCATTTACCTGCCAGATGTTTAATTCTAAAGTATTTTAAGTGTGTTAGTCAAAGTGCTGATCATCAACTTGTCTAAATGCAGCCATAAGTAAATTTATTTTAAATAAAGAGCATCCAATTACCCCACTAATCTAATATGAACTGCAAGATTCCAGTAAAAATTTAAGAAACCTTAAAATCTCTTACCTTTGGCTGGTAATCTCTCGTCAACAAAATATTAGCACTTTTGACATCGCCATGGATATAATGCAAAAAGGAATCCCCAACTTCACTGTCCAGCTCCTCTTCCTGCACTGAATCTCTGTTATGGATATACTTCAGACCTCGAGCTGTACCAACAATTATATCAATCCTTTGCTTTTCCGTAAGCCTTTTGGCTGCCAAATTTTGTTCCAACGATCCACCTTCTATGTACTGACAAACTATACACAAAGACGGAAAAGAAGCGCTATAACCTACAATAGGTACAATATTTTCGTGTCGCAACTGTGCTAAACATTTGACTTCAGCATTGAAAGTTTGACTGACCAAGTTTGGCTTATCGCTGACCAGACTCAAATTCTTTATCTTCTTCACAGCCAGGACTCCATGTTCTGGATGCATGCCAGCATAAACGTCCCCAAAAGCACCACTGCCAATTTTCCCAGTAGGACCTTGAGGACCGTAAATGAAAACATTGGAAAAGTTACTTGTGATCTCTTGCAATTTGTCAAAGTCGAATTGGATCAAAGTTTTATTCTGCAGGATTGTCGTGTCTATACGGAAAAGGGGTGGAGCTGGGTAAGCGATACATTTAACTTCCGATTTGTTCTTCATCAGCACCTCAAAGTTGGGTAGGCAACCGCTGTTATCAGTGTTTTCAGAATAATGAGAGCTGTGTTCTCTGGTGCTGCCATAGTTCGTGCTTTCGCTGGACTTCACAGAAGCAGTGGTTCTGTTGCCAAAATTTAACACTTTAGGAAAGTTGGAGAAGTTTGGGAACCTTCCAGATTTCATTTGTGCTGTGGACTCAGTGTCGTTGTTCCTTTTCTTGGCATTTTTTTTCTGGTCCTCGTACAGAAGCTGTTCTATGTCAGTTAAGATTTTCGCGGCTGGACCCGAGTTTGGTCTCGGTGGTGGTACTTCTGTAAACGATCAACATACAACTTATTCCATATGTCATAACTTCATTTTATATAATAACCTGTAGAATCAACGATCGTGATCCTTTATTCATGTGGTTTAATTTATGCTTGCAAACTTTCACATTTATAATAATATAATAGTAGGGAACGGAAGGCCTGAATTTGTAGTCAGATGATGATGAATTATCTCATGTTATGAAATGAGACACAAGTCCTGGAAAAGGTATTTTTGGTTTGGAAAGGGTATTTTAAATAGCTCTAGTATTTACACCAAGAGGAGCTCGATGGCGCAGGTGGTTAGCGCGTTCGGCTGCGATCGTTGAAGTTAAGTAACTTTCGCAGTGGTCGGTCATTGGATGGGTGACCAAAAATTTACTATCTCGAGCTCCTCCGTGCTTCGGAAGGCACGTTAAGCCGTTGGTCCCGGCTGCATTTGCAGTCGTTAGCACCCACCAATCCGCACTGGGCCCGCGTGGTGGGTCATGGCCCAATCTCCCTATTCCATCCATAGGGAAGGCCTGTGCCCCAGCAGTGGGGACATTAATAGGCTGATGATGATGATGATAGTATTTACAAAAGTAGAAACGATTTGTATCAAATATATGCTCTCAAGGCAACCTCATCTGATCCTAAGTTTATCGAATATGTCAAAAACTATTCAAAAACTTTTAAAAAGTTGTGTGCTTTTTTCAGATAATAAAATAAAGACATCTTGGAATATAATTAATAAATAATGAAACTGGAAGAAATAAATTTAATGAACACACATATTCTTTAAAAATAGATAAAAAGATTATTCGGCAGATGATGTTGTTGCAAACACTTTTGAACTTCTTTTGAAGAACTTCGCAATTTCTTTCCTAGTGCACCATTTGAAACAACTATAAATCTTAATTCTTGTTCTAGGCTAGCAATGACCCTCCTTGAGTCAAGTGTTAATAAGTGCAGTAATGATTTTCATTTTAGACATATCAGTAGTGATTGTATTATAAAAACTTTTAATTAAATTAATATTAAAAAGACGAATGATTATTGGGAAATATCAACATATATAATAAAACCGATTATCACTGTCATTGCGCCTCAACTGGCCATTATATTTAACAAATATATTGATGAGGGAGTGTTTCCAGATCTAATGAAATGTGCTGTTGTTATCCCTCTGTTTAAGGCTGGTGACAAATCAGATCCCAGCAATTTTAGGCCTATATCTATATTACTAGCGCTAAGTAAAGTATTTGAGAGAATAATTCACAACCAATTACTTGCACACTTTGCTAAAAATAAGCTATTTCATTTAAAACAGTTTGGTTTCACTAGAGGCAAAAGTACTACTGAGGCTGGAACTGCACTTCTCAAACACATTTTTGATGTATGGGAGAGTAAACACGATGTTATTGGCATATTTTGCGACCTATCAAAGGCGTTTGACTGCGCTAGCCATGAAACATTGTTGAATAAAATGAAGCATTATGGTGTATCAAATATTTCACTAAGTCTGATACAGTTTTATCTTTCTACTAGTATTCAGAAAGTAGTTATAAATGAAGCTGTCTACAGGAGCACCCATTTCTATGGGCGTACCCCAGGGTTCAATATTGGGCCTATTGCTTTTCACAAATTGCAATAATTTAAAACTTAACTCCAGTAAAGCAAAATGCGTTAAGTTCACTCTACCAGGCAGGTTAATACTAGTATAAAAATAAATGACTAGCCTGTAGAGTTAGTGGATTCTACAAAGTTTCTGGGTATTACTTTAGACTCTCGTCTGCAATGGGATCCTCATATTGACGCCTAGTCAAGTAGACTTAGCACTGCAGTTTTCGCTTTTAAAAAAATAAGACTCTTAACTGACGTGGAAACGGCAAGATTAGTTTACTTTGGTTACTTTCATAGTGTTATGTCATATGGCCTTTTGTTGTGGGGCTCAGCCGCTAATATCGAAAGTATTTTCATACTGCAAAAGAGAGCTGTTCGCGCCATATACAATTTAAAGGCAAGAGAATCCCTAAGAGAAAAAATTAAAGAAATTAATATTTTAACACTGGCGTCGGAATACATTTATGAAAAGGATAAAACACACCCAGCTCCGCCAACAATGTAATTAGTATGAATCGATAGATCTTTGAAAAACTAGCCTTTTTTATTATGACACCGTAAAAATATCTTGGTAGTCAAAACATATGACACATGGGCATATTTAAGTAGCTAAATAAATTTATTTTTAGTACCTTCATTTTAAATTATTAGTAACCATAATAATATGACATATCATACTATACAAACAGATATACAACAAAGCCTGCCAACCATCCTGCGCTTGCACTTTATGAGACACCTCCAAACGGTTTACGGGGGTTGAAGGACTTGCAGTTGCAAATAGTCGACAAGTCTTATTTCGTTGTGATTGTGCGCTCCCTGTCACTTGATTGATTTTTATCTAACACGCTTTGGACATTGGAACACGATTATCGGTTTTGTCAATTAGTATGGATGAACTGGAATTATGTTTTCTCCGAAGAGTGGACAAGTTTGTGTCATTTGTTATCAGTCCGTTTTACATGGGAGACATTTACTATAACGAACAGAATGTTTAATACACCATGCCATACCATTGCACCTTGTGAAGTACTCCTATAATACCTAACCCCCCTGTGTAGGGTCTAACTAACTAAATTAATTCCCTTGTTTCATTAATGTTCGTTTGTTATAGTACTTGTACCTATTTAACTTAAAATAACCAAAGCCCCCGGGATGGAATTTGATGCGCTTTGGCATAGATGATCATGACTATAATACCTTTCAAACAAATGTAGTTTAAGCCGTGGCAAGCCTGGTTGCAGCGCCCATACAATTTTGCCCAATGTCCTTTAATATATGTAAGAAAAAAAATGGGTGCGTGTACTTATGTAGGCGCGTGAGAAGTTATCCTTCTTTGGCATCGTTTAAAATTAGTTTTTAATTGCATGCAAATAATTAATTACAATAAATTAATAAAAAGTCTGGAAAAGGACACAGGACAGATTTGAAAAATTAAATAAATAATATAAATATTCAATTAAAATCGCTACTGAATATAAATTATTAGAACATATGTGATTTGCACTTGTATGAAACTCAAACACATATTCCGAATATACGAACTAGAAACATGTGGATAAATATTATAAATATGAATACCTATAACTGTTACTTTATTACAAGAAATAAAGATGTGGTTTTTGGTTCTACTACACCAATGGTCAAGAGATGGCGCTGTAGTCTCCTGAATCGCGCTTTGGTTCCGTTGTTCCAGATTAATAAATACTTTTGATAGGCCTTCACAATGCAGTCGTTAGCACCCACTAAATAGAGATTCTATATCTATTTTGTTGGTAGATTTTCTTAATGTGCGGTAAACACAAAAGTAACAGCATTAAGTTACCATAACTTTGACACAAGATTTAAGAACAAGCTTGCTGTTCCATGTTTCAGCCTCAATAAATCAAGAGGTTCATTTCTGGGTTGTAGTATTGCATTGTTTAATAAAGTTCCCCAAGATCTGATTAAGCTTCCAATGACCAAATTTAAAACCTTAACAATACTGGTATACTTCAGAAAATAACAGGATTATTTTTACCAGTATAAAATTATTACTGATATGTCAAGCCCAATGATAATGGTATCAGAAAATACCTGTTTTCCAAGCCCTGGACACAACAGATAGAGATTCAATGAAGTAGTCTTCACAGACATCATTAAATGATTAGTTAAGATACCAAATAGGTGTAGGATAAAATGCACAAGTTTTTTATTCAAATTTTTTCAGTAAAGAGTAGTTGCCATAAAACATTAGTTTACCTTGTAGCAGCAGAGCGATTTCATCAGCAGCCTTATAAATGCCTGCTTGAAGTACAAGATTCTGTAAGGTGGCAAGTGTGGGTCTGATTCTACCTGATGTGCCCCACTCGTCAAACAAAACCTCCGCACAAGTCTTTCGCGTACTTTTTGCATGTTCTTCTATTATCCTGAAAAGAGAAGATTATGTGGTGTTATTACACTTTTTTTTACTAAATTTTTCCCTTTTACTATTGTCAGTACTACTCCTTAAAATATAAAATTGGATAAAAAAAGTCTTTATTAAAATTTGATGCAAAATACAACTCTTTTAAATAATCCACATTTTTTCCTAGCACCAGTTAAGGCCATTATTTTGGAAAGATTTAAACCCAAGCATTTTTGTCTGAAACAATTACAATACAGCAATATAATCAGACAATTCATAATACTTTACTCAATTACAATTCATTATTGAAACAATATAATCAGACAATTCATAATAGGCTTTATTAATAAGAACTTTTTAAATGGTAGTTTTAAATTTATAGATTAGAGACAGTTATTTTACATTTTAGCTATTTTCTAATAACATGATAAAGGACATGGCTAAGAAACTGCCCTTAATGTGTATAATTATTTTGCATTAGCCCGTAACATTATATTTTCTTATTAATTATTATGTGTTTATTATTCTCATACAACTTTCGTGAAATAATCAAATATTTTAAAGTATAAAAATTGACTTCATGTCTGTTTCAAGAGGAAAATGTTTCATTTTATAAAAATAAATGTTCACAATAAATATTTGTGTAAGTATATATAAATATTTGTATAGCTAAATAAACAATATGAATTTCAAATTCCTAAAAAAATATGATATATTTGGCCTTAATTTTTATTATTACAAGTCATTGAAGGCCTAAAATAATATATTATATTTTTCTGATCAGGCTTGAGACAAGACTGTATGATAATATAATTGGACGTAGTTACGCGAAAACGTTCCAACCCACAAGTCACTCGAAAATGAGTTACCATAACCAGGGTACTATTTTTGACATATTATATCATGTGCACACAAAGATGCTAGTATTTTTAGGTTAGTTTCATCAATAAAGTTTAACCCAAATGTTCCAACCCACCATTATGCCAAGGACGTGTACTCAAAATAAAGTAAAAACATTACATGCATACTGAAACATATTGTTAAAAACTCTTAATAGAATAACATATCGTTATAATGTTCCACTTGTCTTGGAACATTATACTAAATTCATAAAACGCACATTTAATGGTTTCTTAAATGATCCATGTGGGTTGGAACGTTTTTGCAAAATCTTTACACCTTTTTATTTCTGCAAAAATGTTCCATGTAATTTGAAACCTTTTAGATTAATCCATACTGTTTTTTTAAGCTGCGAACACTGTTCTAAATAAATTGAAATCTTTTATTATAATATATTATTTTCTAATTTTTTGCTATAGACAATCCACATATACTTGATCCATTTTTGCTATTAAATATGTTCTAGAGAAAAAGATATTTTTTACCAAAATAAAACGTGAAAATGTTCCAACCCACAGCAACCCCAATTTGAGATAAACGCAATTTACACACTTTTTCCCTGTAATTATTTCAGGCAAATACTATTGGTTTAACTATGGAATGCCAAACTGTTTATTGAATGATATGCATATTTTTTGTAAATACATAATACAAGGGGCATATAAATAGGTAAAACGAGTTTGAAATGTTTTTGCTAAATTAATTTTGTATGAACCTTGTTATATAGCAATTATGCACTTTCCAAAACGAATTTAAGTGTATTATTTTATAAAAATAAACCAAAAAGAAATATGTAAAATAATAAATAACAATGAGGAACATACAAAAACAACAAAAAAAATATTTGAAAATGTATTAGAAAAAAATAGAACGTGATCTTTTGAGCTTAGAACCTATGCCAAAAATTTGCTGATATGGTTCCAAAAGTTATCAAAAACTTATATTATAAACATTCAATTTTCATCATCGTATTCTATGATCTCGAAGTCCGGAACTCCACCAAACCCATCAACATCATCAGTGCTTCTTCAGAACTTTGAAGCGTTCTATAAAATTGAAGGCAATCCTCGGGTATATAGTGGTACATGGATTGCAAGTCCACTAATTTCGCTGGAGCAATCGGTTTGTCGTTAGGCCACAATAAGCAAAAATCAGATTCTTTTATGTATTGCAGTTCTCGTTTTATTCTTTTATCAATTTTCAACTCATTGAAATCGTCTTCGATCGTAGACCGCATAAAAATAGAAAACATTTTATCTTTATCCAACTTAATTTCTTTTGTATGTAGCCAACTAACTTTAGATGAGTCTGTAAACTTCTTCCTATTGATCTTCTTTTCCAGTTTAGTTGTACTAAAAAAATCAGTCTTTGTCATTTTGTAAACTTGAAGAGGTTTAACTTTTTTACTTAGTTCTACAATAGTGGTATCCATAGTGCATCTAATGATACTGGGCATTGTTATGTACTGGTAGAAGGAGAGGTAGGAAGAGGTGCACAGGAAGTGAATTGCCTTCAATTTTATAGAACGCTTCAAAGTTCTGAAGAAGCACTGATGATGTTGATGGGTTTGGTGGAGTTCCGGACTTCGAGATCATAGAATACGATGATGAAAATTGAATGTTTATAATATAAGTTTTTGATAACTTTTGGAACCATAGCAGCAAATTGGCATAGGTTCTAAGCTCAAAAGATCACGTTCTATTTTTTTTGTAATACATTTACAATTTTTTTTTTGTTGTTTTTGTATGTTCCTCATTGTTATTTATTATTTTACATATTTATTTTAGATATATTTATAAAATAATACACTTAAATTCGTTCTGGAACGTTTATGCATAATTGCTATTTAACAAGGTTCATACAAAATTAAATTTAGCGAAAACGTTTCAAACTCGTTTTACCTATTTATATGCCCCTTGTATTATGTTTTTAAAAAAAATATGCATATCATTCAATAACCAGTTTGGCATTCCACAGTAACACCAATAGTATTTGCCTGAAATAATTACAGGGAAAAAGTGTACCGCTAAAACACAAAATTGCGTTTATCTCAAAATGGGGTCGCTGTGGGTTGGAACGTTTTCGCGTAACTACGTCCAATTAATCCTTTGATTTTTGCAAATGAACAAAATAAAACTTTACTGATTTTCTGTCAAGCCAATGATAACAAATTATTTGTGTTTATATTTGCATTAAGAATACTTTTTGTGGAGTGTTAATCAGAGAAATGAGAGGAAAGATTCTAAATGTGAAATTGATGGCTCTGTAAATAATTGGCAACATCTTTTATACAATGTAGCTAGGTATTACGTAGTAGGAGTTTACATAATTTTCAAGATTGCGGCTTTATCCAAAGTTCCTAAGCCTTTTTTCATAGAAATTATAAATAGTCAACCATCTAGCATTAAATATTCCTAAGTAAAATATTTTTAAATTGCTAGGGCACTCCCATACAAAACTTTACCATGTCCTTTCAAACAAAATAATTTTTGATCACATTGTAATATTTGAAAGCATAATGCATTTTTTTTAAATTAGTCAACAGTTCAGTTGGCCATTCAATCTTGCTAACCTATCTAATGATTTAAAAATCAATTTAAGTTTTGGTGATTAAGGTTGCATTTCATTGTGATGATTCTGCCAATAACTGGGTTAAAGGAGACAAACCATTAGTTGAGATGTTACAGTTTTGTTGACTTTGAAAGATTAAAGTTATTGGATGTGATGAAGTCTAGGATCAAAGGAACAATAATAAGAAAAATGTATTCAAAGTTACTATGTACCTCATTTGCTCACTGTTGTATTTGGGTTCAAACTGTTCTGCGGTTGGATCTTTGGGTATTTTAGACATCACTTTTCGCCAATCTCCATTAGTTTCTAAAGTCTCGCTGATTGAATATAAAAAGCCGGTGGGCAATTTACGTAGTTCCTCGTGTTTATACATTTTCCTCTAAAGTTCTGCGCCTTCGTCACACGGCAAGCATATTATTTAAACATTAAATGTAAATAAATATTAAAATTGAATCTTGAGTCTTTATCTCCGGGTAGAGTGGATATTACGAACTATATATCTATTAGAAACAGGTACATTGCTATCTTGTGCGTAACTTGGTTTTTCCCAGTTTCTTCTTCTCCACCACAAATACCACAAACTATAAAGTGATGCTAGCGCATACAAATACTTAACATTACGAGAACAAGTTCTTCACTTCCACCATAGACATTTTTTTTTTAAGTTTAACGGCCTTGGATGAAATCCATACAGCTAATTCTTCATTAGTATGACTTTATTTCAGATTTATCTTCGTTCTTTACGGGTATCTTTCGTCTTTTACAAGTGCTCAAACATAATAGTAGTTTTTTCTAGGAATTCCACAACACAAATTGCAAAACAAACTGTTTTTTTTTTAAAGACTAGAATAAGATTGAAGGCAAAGGAAACTATACCCATACAGCCTAGTCTTTAGTTTTGCTACTCTTATTTGTTTATCCATTAGATTAGAATGTCGGTGTAGCACATTCTAGTGTTTCTTGGAGTAATTGACACGAAATGTATCGAGTTGGCTTTTTCGATAAGCTTCTGTGAGGTAGCCTCTTACCGCCTCTTACGCATGCTGCTAGAAGTAGGTATATCAAATTACAAGAAAGTCTAATGTCTTTCGTTTCCTAGGATACTATCATTAAATAAACAACTTGTCATAGATAAATGATTGGAGTGGATGATTATCCACAATGGTAATTTGCGATGAAAATGTTGTTGTTGAGAAATCGACTTTTTACGTATACGCAAAAAGAAATTCCGTCTTCAGATACGGATTTATAAAGATCAAGATGCACTAGCGACTATTTGATTAAATGTTCATATTTATCCATACTTGAGGAATGCATCAACTGCAAGCAAGCTTGGAACGAACTAGAAAAGGTATTTGAAAGTAAAGGCGTGAACAGAAGGATCACGCCTTTACTCATCCCATAATATAAATACTACTCTTTGGATCACTCTATTTAATTCTATTCTAGATGAAAAGCTTACTAAGCATAGCAGTATGTATCAATATGTTACGTCTATTATGAGTACTGCCCAAAAACTTCAAGACATCGGTAAAGGTAATTCATCAATGGAACAAGACATTGTCATTCACAAGTCTTTTGGTAATGTTCAAGACAATTAATGCATTGATGTACCGTATCAATCACTTATTGGTGCATTAAACTTTCTGTCAACGAACACGCGTTAGCATAGCTATAGCAGCTGGAAAGCGACATCGACATTTTTTAAAATATTCGAAGTATAAAGGTCTAGAATTTCGGAATCTGGATTTGTTGATGCAGATTGGGGCAGTGACTTAAAAGATTTAGTCTTTTAGCGGTTTCTTATTCAAAATTGGTATTTCCGTTGTTTCATGTGAATGTCGTAAGCAAAGGTTTGTTTCGTTATTGTCAACCGAAGCTGAGTACGTCTCGCCCTATCGGAGGCTTGCAAGGAATCTGTATTTTTATCTCGTTTGGTTAGTAATGTTCTTTTGCGAGATGTATGTGTGGTTAACATAAGCACAGATAACCAGAGTGCTATAAAGCTGGCACAGAATCCAATCGCTCACCGTCGGATCAAACACATTGACATAAGAGTGCATTTTGTAAGAGAATGTATAGAACTGGGTCTAGTCATCAAGCTTACATATATTCCCACTGATAATATGTTGGCTGACTTACTGACTAAGACATAAGGGAATGTAAAGTTTACAAAGTTTTTAGAATCTTTACTGTGTAATTTGAGGGGTGTGTTAAAATTGAAATTACAAGAAAGTCTAATGTCTTTCGTTTCCTAGGATACTATCATAAATAAACATCTTGTAATAAGTCATCTTATATTACAAATATACAATTAAAGTTATTTACAACGCCCTATCCACTGTTACTAATATTATTAAGTTAGTCAACACTACAATAAAGGTCTTACGTCCATGAAGAGCGTATATTTTAAAGATTCCGCTAATGCTTCAGTTGCGCAGACGGTGGTAACACAAAATCACACCAATTTTATTTCACTCACAATATCCAAGATGAACGAATTTAAGAATAATTAAAATAGACGCCAACGGCACTCGATAAAATTCCGCCAAAAACTCGAAACCAATTAAAAATGAAAATTACACGAAAATTGACAGGATTAGTAATGTACCGATGTACGATACATAGATTGACGTGACCGTTAAAAATTGATTAATCGGAACTGACAATAGCTGCTGCAACATTAAAGCCTTCCCGCGCCATATACGAGTAAATGGGTACTTATTTCTGGCGTGATTCCCTAAACCTAAAATTAAATTTGACAATAGTGTACCCTTGGTGTCGATTCTGGCAAGATTCTCTAAATCTAAAATAAAATTTAACAACAGTGTATCCCAATCTCTATACAGAATGAAAAGGAAATACTGATATTTTTGGACGTTGTTTTACCCTAGATGAAATACTTCGATTTTTACTGTGGAAGCCCTTGCCACATGTGCAGCTTTACATTATGCCATTGGATTAGCTGATCTCAATATCTTGATAGTTACTGATGCCAATTCTGGCGTGATTCTCTAAACTTAAAACTAAATTTAACATCAGTCTCTCCTTTTCATTCTCTACACAGAATGAAAAGGAGAGACTGATTTTAAATTTAGTTATAGATTTAGAGAATCACGCTAGAATCGACACCACTGACTCACTAAGTGTTTTATATTGCCTATAAAATATTAATTTTATAAGAATAATATATTTATTAATAAAATAAGACATGGGTACCATCACATAACGGGATAAAAGGGAATAAAACTTGAATAATTGATGAAAATTCCAGTTTCTACCGCCTACATTAATTTTCAATATGAAATTCCATCTGTTCCGATGACGGATTACCATTCAGTTTTAAAACATCGTATGCTGAAGCATTGGCATGAAGATTGGGAATTCACCAAACAATTTAAGGGAAAGTGGTTCGCTACCATTCAAAAGAAGATTCCGATAAAACCGTGGTACTTCGGTTTCCATCCTCCAACTAAAAGATTTATAACTACAATCAACAGGCTCAGATTGGGTCAAGGAAGATTTAGTGCGCACTTAAAAAGAACTAAATTAAAATCTTCGGGAAATATGCGAATACATTACCTATAACATCCTACATTGTTCCACCTTCAACATGCAAAGAATTATCTTTTTAAATGGCCTACTGAAGATTTTTAAAGACGATGACATTCCCCGTCTCTTGCCATCTATTCTGAAAAATATCATATACGATTTCATCTGCGCTACTTTTGAACAGATGTGAAAGAAAATAAGATAACACGTGAAGAACACATTAAAATATTTTTTTAATAAAGATCTAATACTGAAGAATTGGCTGTATGGATAAAAACCAAAGCCGTTAAACTATTAAAAAAAACCAACAGCGCCCTCTTCCGTCAATTTCTAGTTATTTTCAAGTCAAGTGAGAGTGTAGATGTTTATGCGCGAATTGGAAATAATATTTTGTGCTATTAGATTTTAGCGTGTTTATTACTTTTGAATTATTTTGATCACTAAACAGTATTCTCGAATAATCCATAAAGTTGAAATACATAAAAATCATCGAAATCTGTAGATCACAGTGGTTCCTGTCAAGTTTTACATCACCTTCAATAGTTTCAGTAAGTCTATGTTATTTCATAATAATTTACGGGAAATTTCAAAGTCGTACTCATTTGAATGGCTAAATTCACATTCACAATGTCCGTCGTATCTGCGACTGTCGAATACTGCATCTATTATGTATGATAGAATCGATATCGGTATGTACGTGTCCCGTCAGTAATTTTGTACCTTTTTTACTTGCGTACTAAATCATTATTATCGATCTTTGTGCCACATGTGATGTTGATAATGTCTGGTAATCATTACACGGTGTTGTTGACCGTAACCATAAAGGATGTGGTTGCCGTTTCTCACAATAATCTACCGTTGTTATGATTGTATCAGTCCGTCGATTGCGGCTGTTCCCGAGAAAAGTGTTGTTTCCAAACACGTGCGGACACGAAGGTTACCAACACAGAACACTAATGGATATTAAGGGCTCAGATTTATATTGATAATCATAATCATAATCAAAATCATTTATTCAGTTTAGGCTGTTACAAGCACTCATGAATGTCTAGAAGCTACGCCATCGGTTCGTAAATCTACGGCGGTAGACCTTGTACTGAGAAGGACCGACAAGAAACTCAGCAAGGGCTGTTTTTTTTCTCCCTGTTTTATTATTTACAGAGTCGTCAAATAGTATATGATTATGTTTGGCCTGAAATACCTATTATTTAATTTACAAATAGCAGCACATGAATCCTAAGTAAAGTCAGCTCACACACGCCTATTCAAACTTTCATGCTGTTTATCCCTTTTGGGGTAGATAATGCATGAAAAGTGCAGCATTAGAGTACAAATATCACTCACATATTCTTATTTGTTGACACTTTTTTATAATAAAAAAGTACCTAATTGCATTTGTGCTAATTCTGTGGATTATCTTAAAATTAATACAGTAACTGTTATAAATTATTGCTTAAATTGTAAAAGCCGTAGCCAAAGCAAATAAAAATAAAATAATGAGTGTCGCGGAACACTGTTGGAGCAAAGTTAAAAATATACCAGCCACTAATCCAAACTGGGCCCGCATTGTGATTCATAGCCCACTTTCTCTAGTATATAGAAAACAAAGTAGCCTACCCACAAACCCCACTGCACTGGGCCCAGTGCAGACGCGGCTAATTCACTGCACACACTCTCGATCCATCACTTACCAATGAAAACTTGAAACAAAATTCATAAACACAACAGTCAGTAGTTGGTAGTTAATTGTGACAGTAAATTTTCGCCTAGCCCTTATCCACCGTACAGTACAAAAAGAAACTTCGTTCAAAAAAAAACAAAAGGAAAACTTTTAATAATAAATAAATAAATATTTCTAACACTCACACCAATTAGCCTAGCCCCTAAAGTATGCACTAAGTGTTTATATAGAAATACATATTAAACATCCATGACTGGAGTACATGATCATATTCATCACACAAACATCTGCCCCCACCAGGATTCGAACCCGGGACCTCTCGAGTCTGCGACACCATGAAACCTGGCGTACAAGCCACTTGGTCATGGAGGTCGTCAGTCAATCAATAACACTTGTTAAAATTACGTTACCAACTATGCAGCATATCAGATTGATTTATTACATAGCTGAATCAACCTTGATATTTTATGACCTGCATATGTACAGTTAGTATCAATAAAATGTTCACTATGTTTTGCTCCTCACAGTATTTGTCAGCTCTAAATATTGTGTTGAGTCAAATGGCTTTGAATCTGATAACATTGTTTTGAAACTCCTCAGTCTGCAGATATTAAAATGTGTTTACTGAAAATT